TTAGTAATCTATTAATAGTTGCAATTAACTCAATTTTTGTTATAAATACAATGAATATTGGTTCTGGGCAAGGTAACATGTACCTTAACCCCAACTACTTGGGAGGCTAAGGCAGGGGAACAAGTTCAAAGCATGGTCAGCTTAGTGAGATCCTCACAATTAAAAAAAAAAGTTTTAGGGGCCCTGCCCATTAGCTCAGTTGTTTAAGTGCCTGCTTAAACAAAGCCGTCAGGCTCAAGATGCTCTGGTTCGAACCCAGTTTCTCACAGGAAACCAGAAATGCCCTAAGGGCATTTTCAGGCAGAAAAAAAAAAAAAAAAAAAAACCTTAAAAAAAAGTTTTTTAAATGGGTTTGAGATATAGCTCAGTGATTGAGCATTTGCCACTCATCTCGGCACCAATTACTTGGACTAATGGCGAAGCTACTGACTGGGGGGCGTGGGACTTAGTTCATGCTTGGTCAACTGTTTCTTTCCTTCTCAAACAAGCTCTGGCAAATTATGTTAAAGAAAAGTTTTTCTTAGTTTATTTTTTACCAGTCTATTGTCAATACAGGCAGCAGGCAACAATTATACTATTCTTTCAATATTTATGCATATTTTCCCTTGTCATCTCAAAAGAAATGAAAAGCAGTATGGCCTTTCTGAGTCCTCGGCCGCCATGGTACCCGTGTAAAAACTTGCAGTGAAGGGGGGGCAAAAAAAAGAAGCAGGTCCTGAAGCTCACCCTTGATTGCACACATCCTACAGAAGATGGAATCATGGACGCTGCCAATTTTGAGAAGCTTCTCCAGGAAAGAATCAAGGTGAATGGCAAAGCCGGGAATCTTGGTGGAGGGGTGGTCACCATCGAAAGGAGCAAGAGCAAGATCACCGTGACTTCCGAGGGACCTCTTTCCAAAAGGTATTTGAAATATCTCACCAAAAAATATTTGAAGAAGAATAATCTACATGACTGGTTGCGTGTAGCTGCTAGCAGCAAAGAGAGTTATGAATTACGTTACTTCCAGATTAACCAGGACAAAGAGGAGGAAGAAGATGAGGATTAAAGCTCCTTTGTCTGGAATATTTTTTTATGAGTTCTTGAATAAAACTTGGGAATCAAAAAAAGAAAAAAGAAAAGCAATATGGCTAAAAATTACTCAAAATGTTCACATTAAAATTCACATAATGGATTGCTTATAGACCGGAAGTCGGAATCTTAGTTCTCTTTCCCATCTTGCAAGATGGAAGAGGAAAAAACTGAGAAGCCAGACACTAAAGAGAAGAAACCTGAAGCCCAGAAGGCTTCTGCCAGTGGCACTGGTAAAAAGGGTAAGGTGAAGAAGGCAAAAAAGTCCAAGA